CCCTTTACAGAAAAAGTTTGTGGGTCCCAGACTGGAAGGGCCCAGGGAGAGCTGCGGGGGCAGAAGGGCATATGCGGACTCTATCAAGGTCAGGGTGGGAGAGAGGACAGGGGGTTGAGCAATGGTGTTTCTGAGAGGTGGGTGGATTAAAAGATGAGGAATTCTAAATTTGGACAAAGGCTCAGCTCGGGCAACCAGACTTCCGTTGCGGGGGGAAAGCAAGCTGGGTAGCGGATGGCATTTCTGAAAGGCAAGAGATGGGGATCCTGCCGCTGCTTTGGAAGGGCATGCTGTCGCGGTTCCCTCAGCTCATCCGTGCTTCGTTCTCCAGGAGGAGGAGCCCAGCCACGGAATGGAAGTTGCTGGAAGTTCAAGGAAGGGAGACTGGATTTCAGACAGGTGGGGGGCACTTTGTCATTCACTTATTCCTTCCCTCAGACATTCATCAAATATCCGCTGGGTCCCAGGCCTCAGACGCAGCACGCGGTGGGGAGGGGATGGGGGCAGAGAATGTTAAGGAGAGCCGGGCTTTATGAAAACGTGAGAAAGGTAGAGAGAGAAGAGCGTGAGCAAGAGAAACACAAGTGGAGGGGAAGGGAAGGCCAGCAGCAAGAGCGGCATACAGACATAGAAATAGGGAGGGGAGGAGAATAAGAGGAAATGGGAAAATAAAAAGGACACACCAGGAGCGCCTGGGTGGCTCAGTCGGTTGGGCATCCGAATCCGACTCTTGGTTTCAGCGCAGGTCGTGATCTCAGGGTTGGGGGATCGAGCCCCACCTCCGGCTCCAGCTCCATGCTGAGAGTGGAGCCTACTTGGGATTCTTTCTCTCCTTCTCCCTGTGCTCCTCCCCAGCTCAGGAAATCATTACCAACATCGTTTCCCTGTGTGATGTGATGTTCTGTTGTTCACCGATCTTTTTTTTTTTTTTAAGATTTTATGTATTTATTTGAGAGAGAGAACGAACAGGGAGAGGGGGAAGAGGGAGAGGGAGAAGCAGACTCCCCGCTGAGCAGGGAGCCTGACTCAGGACTCCATCTCCTGAGACCATGACCTGAGCGGAAGGCAGGCAGAAGACAGACGCTTACCCCACTGAGCCACCCAGGTGCCCCCACTGTTTGTAGATCTTAAGCCACTCTAAACCCGGAAGCATTCAGAGGCTATGGTCTGCTGGGTTCTAAAGGGGGAACTCCATCTCTGACGGGCCTCTGGGAGTCCAGTGCGATGCCTGATGGGCGCAGATAACGCTAAACTTGGACGTGAATGAGGCCACCGCCAGAAAGTGTCCCACCCTGCGTTTCCAGGCAAAGAATTTAAGGAGCTCAGTTGTCTTAGGAGATAAGGTTTACAGTTGAAGAACGGTGTAGGGTGGTGTGGGACTACAGACCAGCAGAGCTGGAAGAGACCAGTGAGGAGGAGGAGGAGAAGGGAGGTACCGGCTGAGGATGATGCAGCAGCAGACTAGCATTTATTGGTCTAATATGTTCCGGGCGCTACGCTAGTTGTTCTACCAGCTTCATCTGAACTCTCCCGACAGCACTGTGAGACATATTACTCCATTTCTCAGAGGAGAAAACCAAGGCTCTGGAAAGCAGAACTACTCACCCAAGCTCCAAGCTCAGGCGGAGCTGGGATTTGAACTCATCTCTCCGAGTCCTGAGCCCCCCTAGGTGCTTCTCTAAGAGTGCACCCTAGATCGTCGTCATCACAATCAGATTCCCAGGCCCCACCCAGATCCATTGAATCAGGATCTCTGCGGGAGGATGGCCTCGGATCTGCATTTTGACCCAGATGATTTCTATGTTTTCTGAGGTTTGGGAATTAACCATGTGAGACTCAGGTTCCAATTTGGTTCTTAAACTGTGATCCACGGACAGCTTTCCAAGAGTCCATGACCTACTGATAACAAACTGGAGTCTCGTTCAACCCATGCCCACCCCTTTCTTCTCCTCTTTGGGGCAGTGTCTTTCCCACTGACTTTTTTAGACCTTTTGATTGACTTCAGCCAATGAGATGTGAGCAGATAGGATGTGATCGTCCTTGAACCAAGTTTGTGCAGTGTGGTTTGTCTCTCGAGGGTCTGCCATCACCACCAAAAGCACATACTCTACAAGGCAAGTTGCCTTTCCAGCCCGGGCTCCCTAATTGGACACATGAAGTAGAGCTGAACGGTCCCAAAGCCTAGAGCCAAGCGCAGCCAACCCATAACCGGAAACTGAAACACCCCAGCCAACCCATATACATGCCAATCACACAAGCAAGAAAGAGATGCTTGTTGTCAGCCATTGAGTGTAGGTATGATTTTTTTATGCAACAATAGCTGACCAATACCCTTAAAGTACATACCCTATATTGTGTGTCCGTTTTTATATTGTGGGCCCACTTTTCTGGAGAGAGGGTGTATATACATTTCAACAAATTCTCAAGAGACCAGGGACCCCAAAAATTATCAAGAGCCAGAGATCTACTTAAAGATCTTCTCCATTCTTGGTGGAGCCTCAGGTTCCAGGACTTGAGCTGAATGAGTTTTCACTGTCCCTCCTTGCCTCTTAGAATACAAATGTTTATCTAAGCCTTAATCTTTAAGGGGTCCAGACCAAATATGCTATAGGAGTTTTGAGAAGGGGGCCTGAGGGATGGTCTTAGGACTCAGTCTCAAATCCCTGGACTCTTAAAATATCACAAAATACAAAAACAAAACAAAACAAAACAGGAGGAATTCTTAGAGCACAAGGAGTCATTTTATAAGAATGGTCTTCCTCTGGTATATTACTACTTACTCATTTATCTCCCCAGTGGAAAGAAATTTCTCTCCACCCCTGTGAAATAAATATAAACAGCTCAGTCAATGTTTTGCCAGAGATGTGAAAAATTACAAATATTATGCCCTAGTCTGGGTTGGCTTCTATATACATAAATATCTACAGAACCGACATTCAACACCTCAGTCATGAAAATTATGTTAACATGTCACAGGACATTCATTTTTTCAAGATCATTGGGCAATATTTTTAGGAGTCTGTGAGTACACAATTTACATTTTTTTTTTTTTTTTTTGCCTGCTGTTTGTGAAGTAACAGCTCCAAGGACCCTTGGTAGAAGCGACAAGGCCCCTAAGGAGGTACGAAAGGACTTAGCCAAGGCTCCATTCATTTTACCTCGCTGCTCATATATTATCCCGAGTTGGAGGCCAAGCAAGCCAATCTGTTAGCAATCCGTTTTCCTGCGCTGGTCTCATCCCCTTGGCTATTATCGGCCGAGTATTTCAACAGAGATGGATGGGTTCTGGCCAGTCAGGGGGACGCAACTGAACTTGAACCGAGTCCAGCTGGCGGGATTTCTGATTGCCAAGATGACCTGCTGCCTTCAAGGAGAGCAGGATTCATGTGGTGGTTCGGCAGGTGACGGGGAGGAGAGTGAGGAAGGGCAGGTATGTTTGCACCTTGTAATCCGGGGCAAAGCGCCGACTTCTAGGAAGGGTTTCTTGGTAGTGCGGGAGGAATTAGCAGGACTTCTCCCTGCTGTCCCCTGAAAATGGCCTCGCTCCCTGTCCTTCTGGGTCTTGATGCATCTTTTGTTTGTCAACACAATCAGACAGGCTGAGCTTGGATCCACACCTTCTTTGGAGACAGGACCTGAAAGAGGTTAATTATGGTAAAATGAGGCCCCTCAAGGGCACACTGACGTGCTCACCAACCAGGATGTTCACCCAAGCCTCAGCACCAGAGGCTTACACTGGGGTTTTGTTTTGCAGGCATGATTGAATGGATCACTGGGCTGATAGCACCCGGCTCAAAGCCTCAGCCTTCTGATCCTGAGATTTGTCTTTCTGGCCTGACCAGCCCCCCTGTTGACACCTTCTAGGGAACCACCACGAAGTCACCTGATACACTCTGTGGTCCTGGGGTCCTACCATGCTTAACGAAGACAGTCCTATTACCTGGGAAATTTCAAAGTTTAGAGCTCTACCCCAGGAACCAGAGACAAAGGCCAGCTAATTTTTTTTATCATACAACATGTATATGTCTATATGGGCATTATATGAATACATAAACGCTACATGTAATTGTTCTATTTGTGTAGCGTATATATTGCAAATATACACTCCAACATGCTCATACTAGTTATCTCCAGGTGGAGGGATTTGGAAGGGTTGTTCTTCTTTTTGTGATTTTCAAGGTTTTAGTGAAAGTGCATTGGCTTTGTAGTCAAAATTCTGTTTCTTTTCATTTTGAATCGCCAGTCTAAGAGGCTCAGGTGAGTACAGGGGTTTAAGAACATGGACCAAAATTCCCATCTAATCAGCCGTGTGCCTTCTCGGGACTTCAGTTTCTTCTTTTGCCGGATGGAATTTATAGTAACTGTTCCTGCCCCAGAGCTCAACTGCTGTGGACGGAGCCTATTACGGCACCTGAGACTTGGTAATTAGCTATTATTGGATCATTATTGTGATGACCGTCGTTAATGTTCTTGTAACTCACCTCACCCTCTGATAAGTCACCTGGGAAATGATATTTATTGAGCACCTACGGTGTGAAGGGCAGCGAGGGATCCAGACTTGGGAGACTCACACCTCTTGATGCTTCCAGAAACTTATGCCACCCTGGAGAGATACACAAACCCTTCAGGGGTAGAGGGTAGCACGTGCCCAGGAATGTCATCTACTGGGGTGCCGGCTGGCACGTGAAAGCCGAGGTAACTCTGCAGGGGCTGGCAGGGCTCAGGGAGATGGGGAGGGCCATATCGGATGAGAGGTGCTCCTGGGCGCAGAGCTGGGAGTGGTCTCAGAAAGCAGACTCTTCTCCCAGTCTCAGGCAGGTGAGCCCTCCCCACTCCCTACCTCTTGTGGGCCTACGTTTCTCACTGCCTGGCACCTCCCTCCCATTAGGTGGTGTAACCATCACAGGAAAACCCTATGAAGTACAGCATCAAGATTCATTTTACAGATGGGGAAACTGAGGCTCACAGAGGTGGTCACATGGCCACGCTCACCCAGTAAGTGGAGGGGTTGGGATTCAAACCCGGTTTAGAAGCAAGTACCGAAGCCGCTGTGCCCTGGGACCACTAGCTGCAAGCCAGGATGGAGCCACATGGCTGGTGGATGGGAGGTATCTCCTTTTCTTTTCGGGGACCAGAATCTTTTCTCCTCCGTGGTCTTCTGTGGACTATTCAGAACTGCATCTTAGTCTCGGACTGTAACAACCGAAGGAACTGTAAGAAAACAGAAACAAAGACCAGGAAACACCAGGGGCACCTGGGTGGCTCAGTGGGTTGGGTGGCTGACTCTTGATTTCTTCTCAGGTCATGATCTCAGGGTCATGAGATCGAACCCCACATTGGGTTCCATGCTCAGCGAAAGTCCGCTTAAGGATTCTCTCCCTCTGCCCCTCTCCCTGCTCGTGCTCTCTCCCCTTCCCCCTCTCTCTAAAATAAATAAATAAATCTTAAAAAAAAACACACACCAAAAAAACTAGGAAACACCTTCCACTTAAAGATGGAACTTAAGTGCATGTTGCAGCGCCCAGAGGGGATCTCCATCACACATGTTTGTAGGAGGAGGGATACAAGTCTAGGTTTTATTTTTTTTAATATCATATTATTTTGATTTTAGCATTAGATAGACCTGGGTCTAAGTGACATCTCCAAGGCCATTCACTGAACCACAATTGAGTAAAATTTCCCACCGGGAAGGAACAGAGGGAGGAAATTAACATTTATTTCTGTCTTATAAACACCAGTGGCTATGCTAAATGATCGACATGTGTCGTCTCATTAAATCTTCACAACCACTCCAAGATGAAGCCACTATTATGAACCCACTTTACAGATGGGGAAACAGAGGCTCGGAAAGGTGAAATGACTTGCCCATCCTCCTGATCCTATGTTGCACTGCCTCCCTCTCTGCAGAGAAAACTGGGGGTGGCCGGAGGGGAGGTGGGAGGGGCATGGGCAAAACAGATGAAGCGGATCAAGAGGTACAGGCTTCTAGTTATAAAATAAGTCACAGGGGCGAAAAGTATAGCATAGGGAACGCTGTTGATTAATATTGCAGTAATGTCATATGGTGACAGATGGCGCCTATACTTGTTGTGATGCGTGCTGATACATAGAATTGTCAAATCACTATGCTGCACACCTGAAACTAATACAACATTGTGTTAACTCCACTTCAATGATGAGAGTATATATATATAACAATAAAAATACACAGGGAGAGCAAAGCCCACTTTACATAGGCTGCAGAGTGCCACAGACTGGGGGTTCAAACTTGACCTCGCTCCTTGCCCGGACCAACTTTGGACAAGCATTTGCTCAGCCCTCCCTTCCCACATCTGCAAGACCAGGGTACTAATACATCTGTAGCAGGACTGTCACACTATTCGGGGGGAGGTCGTGTCTACGAAGCACCGAGCACAGTCCCCGGCGCAGGGGGCCACACGCAGATGCTGTGGCTGTGGCTGTGTCCAGACTTTGAACACAAAAGAGGTGGTCAACAAACCTGCATCCTCACCACACCCACCCTTCTGGCTACAATATGGGGAAAGTCATAAGCAGGAAGAGACACAATTTTTGCTTTCAGAAAAGCTCACAGCCTTGACCATGAGAGCAGAAAGACCATGGAAACGGGAAGCAGTAAAAAGAAAACATCTCTAATTGTATGAGTCAGGATGGAAGAAAGAAATGCCAACTGCAATTCGCTTTTATTTATTTTTTTAAAGATTTATTTATTTATTTGAGAGAGTGAGAATGAGAGAGAGAGAGAGTATATGAGAGGGGGAGGGTTAGAGGGAGAAGCAGGCTCCTTGCTGAGCAGGGAGCCCGATGCGGGATTTGATCCCGGGACTCCAGGATCATGACCTGAGCCGAAGGCAGTCGCCCAACCAACTGAGCCACCCAGGCGCCCCACTCCAATTAGCTTTTAAAAATGCATGTATTGGTCCATGAAATGGAAGAGTCTATTTAATTTTAAACTGTCAGTGTAGTGGCTAAGAGGTTGGGATCGTACACCCTCAGGTCTAGTTTGATCTAGGGGGTATCAACACTACGAGGTGCAACATCTTTTCATAACAAATGATCTGTCATGCCCCCTTTACAATTCTGAAATGAAATTCACAGGTGATACAATCCACTTACCACAGAGTTTAATAGAAAACCGACACATTGTCTGTATTACCAAGGAAAGAAAACAGAATAGACGCACAATAAAAATATGCAGGTCAATTTCTTTGGGTAAATACCCAGTAGCGGAATTCCTGGATCACATGGTAACTCTATTGTTCATTTTTGAGGAACCTCCATAGCGTTTTCCAGAGTAGCTGCGCCAGTTTGCATGCCCACCAACAGTGTGCAAGTGTTCCCCTTTCTCTGCATCCTCGCCAACACTTGTTATTTCTTGTGGTTTTGACACCAGCCATACTGACAGGTGTGAGGTGATAGCTCATGGTGGTTTTGATTTGCATTTCCCTGATGATGAGTGATGATGAGCATATTTTCATGTGGCTGTTGGCCATTTGTGTATCTTCTTTGGAAAAATATCTATTCAGATCCTCTGCCCCCTTTTAATTGGATTGTTTGGTTTTGGGGTGTTGAGTTGTATCAGTTCTTTATATATTTTGGATAGTAACCCCTTATCAGATCTATCTTTTGCAAATATCTTCTCCCATTCAGTAGGTTGCCTTTTGATTTTGTGGATGGTTTCCTCCACTGTGCAAAAGTTTTCTATTTCGGTGTAGTCCCTAGTTTATTTTTGCTTTGTTTCCCTTGCCTCAGGAGACATAAATACGTTACTGAGGCTGATGTCTAAGACGTCAGTGCCTATGTTTCCTTTCAGAAGTTTAATGGTTTCAGGTCTGACATTTAGGTCTTTAATCCATTTTGAGCTTCTGGTGTGAGAAAGTGGTCTAGTTTCATTCTTTTGCATGTAGCTGCCCAGTTTTTCCAACACCATTTATTGAAGAGACTGTCTTTTTCCCACTGCATATTCTTGCCTCATTTTTCATAGATTAATTGGCTATTAATCATGGGTTTGTCTCTGGGCTCTCTATTCTGTTCCATTGATCTATGTGTCTGTTTTTGTGCCAGTACCATGCTGTTTTGATCCAGTAATTCCGCTACTGAGTATCAACCCAAACCTCATGTTTATTGCAGCATTATTTACAATAGCCAAGACATGGAAGCAACATAAGTGTCCACTGAGAGATGAAGGGATTAAGAAGATGTGGTGTACACACATGTGCACAGTGGAATATTACTCAGCCATAAAAAAGAACGAGATCTTGCCATTTGCAACAATGGATGGACCTAGAGGGTATTACATTAAGTGAAATTCAGAGAAAGACAAATACCATATGATTTCACCTATATGTGAAATCTAAAAAACAAAACAAATGAACAAAGAAACAGACTCATAAATACAGAGAACAAACTGGTGGTTGCCAGAGGGATGAGCAAGACAGGTGAGGGGGATTAAGAGGTGCAACTTCCAGTGGTAAAATAAATAAGTCACAGAGATGAAAAGTACCAGAATATAATGGACAATATTGTAATAAAAGTTGTATGGTGGCAGATGGTGACTACACTTACCATGGTGAGCGCTGAGTAATGTATAGAATTGTCGATCAATATGTCATACACCTGAAGCTAATAAAACATTGGATGTCAACTATACTCCAGTAATAAATAAATAAAAAATATATATATAATAAAAAATACAGGGCGCCTGGGTGGCTCAGTTGGTTAAGCGACTGCCTTCGGCTCGGGTCATGATCCTGGAGTCCCGGGATCGAGTCCCACATCGGGCTCCCTGCTCAGCGGGAAGTCTGCTTCTCCCTCTGACCCTCTTCCTTCTCGTGCTCTCTATCTCTCATTCTCTCTCTCTCAAATAAATAAATAAAATCTTTAAAAAAAAATACATACATCAATACATAGATGTTCAGGTACAACTCCCCTTGAAGACATAATGAAGTAAACAAAAGCTTTCACATTTAAGAGATGTGAGACAATATTTAGTTTTACATTGTCAACAGAGTTACTTTATGTTTAACATATTAGAATCACAGCGACATAAGTTACGTTCATACATCCAAGCATATCCCACAGAAAGTTCCTAAGTGTCATTTCCCAGTTTCAGTTTTTCATACCCAAACTTCATGGAATGTATGCATCTCTCAGTGTGCGTTGATATCTGTAGAGGAAAAATTGCATTTCTGTCTTCAAAATTCAATGCAACGTTTTATTTTTTTTTAAGATTTTATTTATTTATTTGACAGACACAACGAGAGAGGGAACACAAGCAGGGGGGAGTGGGAGAGGGAGAAGCAGGTTTCCCATGGAGCAGGGAGCCCGATGTGGGGCTTGATCCCAGGACTCTGGGACCATGACCTGAGCCGAAGGCAGATGCTTAACGACTGAGCCACCCAGGTGGCCCTCAATGCAACATTTTAAACAAAATGCTGGACAGAGCACTTCTGATGCCTAAATACAATGGGTGGAACATCCAGATCAGAGATCGAAAAACACGTCCCACATCAACCACAGGTAGGAGTCTCTTATGTCATGGCTGCTAAGAGAAGCCATGTCATTATGAACAGCACTACTGTTTATTTCTCTTTCCAGGAGCTTTATTGAAATATACTTTATATACAAGAGCCTGCATCCATTTTAAGTGTGCAATTCAGTAATTCTTGACAGATGGCGCACATGTGGGAAACCATTGCCACAATCAAAGTAAAGTACACATCCATCGTGTCCCAAATCTGCTTGTGCACCTTGGCAGCCCATTCCTCCTCCACTTTCAGCCTCGGGCAGCCTCCGAACCAAAGCAACTGTTAACTGCCATGATAGTGACTATGTGATGGCAGTGTAGGCATTCTATAGCCTCAGTGAGAGTTTGTCACTCACATACAGAACTTTAATTGTGTTTTGGTTGCATTTTAGGAAATCGGTTGAGGATTTAACGTGGAATGTGGGGTTGACGTGGGACGTGTTATAACATTTCGTTTTATTTTATCATTTTATTTTATTTATTTTATTTATTCTGTGGAGCCCAGCACGGGGCTTGTACTCACAACCCTGAGATCAAGACCTGAGCTGAGATCAAGAGTCAGACGCTTAACCGACTGAGCCACCCAGGCGCCCCATAACTTCCTTATTTTCAAATAATGGAAACTAAGACTTCTGTTTCTGGGAAGACGAAATATATGTACTTTTTCCTAGTCCTCCCATCAAGTACAACTAGAAACCCTGGATATTATATGTAAGACAAACATAAGACTTTGACAAGTAGAGAGAAGAAGAGAAATGAACTAAGGACCTCGAGACTTGGGGAGGGAGGCATCAGTGAGTAATCTGAGATTGCTCTTGGCTTCAAATATCCCAAAGTTGGAGCCGAAGAGCCTGGAAACCCAGAAACCAAACAACAGGGGCAAACAAAAAAACCAAAACAAAACAAAAAACAAAACTCCAACAAAAGCCTGCTCTTTCTAGGCAAAGGACCAGGAAAGAGCCAGCCTAGCAGGACAGAAGACTTTTAGACAACAACTGCTCTCCTGCTTCCAAACAGAAAAATCCATAGTCACCTCCACCCCATGCCAGCAAAGACTGACAGGGATCCTAGATTTCTACCTTTATGAAGCTGTAAGAAGGTGGTGCCCCAACAGTCCTGCTGGCTTGGTGTCAGAGGGGTCCAGGTAAGGAGGTAGAACTTCAATCCTCACCAACCAGCAGGGAGCCCCTCCCTGGACTTCCGCCTCCAGCTGGCAGAAAGAAGGCGTCCCTCCCCCTCCCCATTGGAGTGACCAGAAGAAGCCTAAGGAAGAAGCAGGAATTTCACCACGCCCCCATGGTAACAAGGCCACGCCCACCTCAGTGTTGGTGGAGTCCTTCTGGGGAGCTGGAACCCATTCCCCGCCCCCCCCGGAAGTAACAGGAACCCCACCCTCCTTCAGGTGTCAATGGCAGGAAGTCTGGGCTTCTACCTCCCCTGGCAGTAACTGGGTGGCAATCCCTACCTACCACGTGCCCTGCCAGGGCAGTGTCAGAAAAAGCCAGCTAAAACCAAAGCTTCGAACACAATTTAGAGTCTCAGAACATAATACACAAATGTCCAGGCTTCAGTCAAAAATCCCTTGTCATAGCAAGAACCAGAAAGATCTCAAACGGAATGAAAAAAAGACAACCAAGAGGTGTCAACACCAAGAGGACGTGAGATGCTGGAATGATCGATCTCACAATGATTTTAAAGAAGCCATGATGCAAATGCTTCCACGTGCAATTACGAACATGCTTGAAACAAGTGAAAAAAAAAAAAAAAGATCCTCAGCAAAGAACTAGGGCATCTCAGCAAAGAAATGGCTGATATGAAAAAGAAACAGATGGAAATTTTAGAAGAGAACAATATAATCACCGAAATAAAGAGCTTAGTGGGTCAGCTAACAGCAGAATGGAAGGGACAGGAGAAAAACAGTGAACTGAAGTACAGCCTAATAGAAATGACCCAATCTGAACCACAGGGAGAAAACAGACTGGAAAATAAACAGAGACTCGGGACCTATGGAACTGTGACAAAATCTCTAATATCTGGGTCATCAGAGACTGGAGGAGAGGAAGATAGTGAGGTTGAAAATGGACTCAGAGAAATAATGGCTGAAAATTTTCCAAATTTGTCAAAACACATAAATGTACAGATGCATTCAAGGAGCTGAATGAACCAAAGACACAGGATCATTAAATTTCTGAAAACCAAAGGCAAAGAAAAACATTTGAAAGCAGCCTGAGAAAATATTTGCGAATCACGTTCATTGTATGTTAAGCAGATGTTAGTTCATATTTATGTTTGCATAGTTTTCCATTGTGTGAAAGCCCCACAAGTTCTTAAAAAGATTTATTTATTTATTTTAGAGAGAGAGAGCACAAGTGGGGGGGAGGGGCAGAGGGAGAGAGAGAATCCCAAGCAGACTCCCCACTGAGCATGGAGCCGGATAGGGGGTGTGATCCTGAGACCCTGAGATCATGACCTGAGCTGAAACCAAGAGTTGGTTGCTTAACTGACCTAGCCAAACAGGGGCCCCGAAAACCCCACAGTTTTATGACCCATTAAGGGAGTACATGATGTGTTCCTATTTTTAGCTCTTAGAGAGAAAAGTTTCTCTGGATATACTTGTTGCAGGTCTTGGTGAACATACATAGGCATTTCTATTGGGTACATACGTTGGGAGTGGAATTGCGGGATAATAGGGGAGGTGGGTATGTTCAGCGTTAATAGAAAGTGCTGGACTGCTTTCCAAAGATTTCCAGTTGGTCCACATCTTTGAGATGACCAACAACACTGGACACTTCCCAAACTTTCCCCAGGAGCTGTGCCGCCTTCACTGAGTATTGATTAACTGGTCAAAGGATGTCAGGAGGTCCTAACTCCCTCTCTAACTTTCACCTCTCTTGCAAACCTCTGTGTGGCTTCACCTGCAGACAGGTGCCCTGTGGGTTGGGCAGACAGCTGTCAATAGCTCCAGATCTACATTCTACTGCACCAAGCCTGGCAGAGAATGAGGCATTTCCCTCCCCTTCCAGGGTCCCTCCAGCCCAGGCTGAGGAATGAGGCTTTCAGGGATGTCTAGCCTGCCTGCGTCCATTAACCAATCAGTGATGGGGGAAGAGTACCACACTCTCATTGGCCAGACCTTGGTCACATGCTCATCCAGGGATGGTGGTGCAGTCAACTCCCCCTGCGGTTATTACACCAGCAATCAGGAAGAGGATTGCCAAGAGAAAAATTGTGCTGCTGTTGCTAGAAGGGTTGGTGGGTAGGAAAAATGCCACACATCCACTCAAAGGTCTTATGCTAAACCGCGTGATGCAGACAGAGTTCTCTAAAGAGACTGGGAATAGGAAGGATTTCAGAATCAGGATCCAAACAGAAGTTAGGAGGCAAATCTTAGAGGATGACATTTATAAGGGATAAATATAAAGCTTTATACTTAGGTCTTAAAAATTGCATGTGTACAAGATGGATTTTGCAAAAGCTCCTGTGTCTGAGTAAAATAGGTGGGGTTTTGGTCAGACCAAACTCAATGCAACTCAAGAGTGCATTGCCACGGACATAAAAGCTAAAATTTCTCAAGGCCAAGTTAATAGAGGTATGGGGTCTAAATGAGGGAGGTGATGATGCCATTCTTGGAATATTGAATTTTGTCTGGTTCTCCTCAAATGGTAAAGGACTGCAAAGGAGAGTATCCAGGTAGATGGAGGGAGCTCAAAACCAGTTTTGTGAGATGTGAGTGAAAAAACACTTGTGAGAAAACATTAGCTGTGTTCCGTAAGACCAGAGGATGTAAGCTTAGAGATCCAGCTGTTAACACAAGGATGAAGTTCCTGCCAATTGTCTGTAGACATTTTCCAGGTCAAAACAGACTGATTACTTTTCCAGAATGTCAGAGTTTGGCTTTGCACACCAGAGGGGTACTTACAGTAGTTCGGCTTTTCCCAAAATGTGTCCCGTGAAAAAGAGGTCAAATCTCCTGGGGAGACACTGGTCACTAAGCTCTCCTTCTCAAACTTACAATTAACACATTAAAGGCGCCAAGAAGGCATTCAAACAAGAAGCCTTGATTGTATAGGCTTTCATGAGGCCGGTGCTTTCCAAAGGTATTTGACCAAACTATCTTCCTTTTTCCTCCTTTAGTAATGTCTGCTGACATCCCTTAGCGCTAATGTCCTGTCAAAACCAGTTCAAGAAATACTGGACAACTTGGTGCTTAAAGTTTTAGCTGACGCAGAGACCCATACCCTGATGGGCAAAATCAGTAAGGGCCGCACACTTTCTTGTTCTCTCTCTCTCTCCCTCTCTCCCCTTTTACCAGCAAGAAAGCTCAAAGTTCTTGCTCTACTGCCCCATTCCAAACTTCTTCTGGAGCAAGGTTCACAGTTTGCAAATAAGTAACAACATGATGCATCTCTGTTCACCTTGGAGAATGTGTTAGCTAGTTGGCTGCCATGTAACAAACCATTCTGAATAACCAGTGTCTCGGAACAACAGGGTTTATTCAGCTCTCATGTCTGTGGTCTACGAGATGGTTATGTTTAGTTGGGCAGTGACTGGCGAAACTGGCTGGGTTTGGTTGGCCTGGATTGGCTTTGGTCAGGACAGCACCTCTCCACTGCATATGTTTCTCATCCTCCAGCGGACTAGCTCGGGTTTATTCACGTTGCAACTGGTCAGGATTCGAAGAGAATAAGAAAAATCCTGTAGGGTGTCTTGAGGCCCGGGTCAGGACCTGTGTATCATCCTTTCTGCCTCAGTCTCCTGGTCAAAGTAGGTCAAGAGGGCAGCCCAGATCCAAGGAGTGGGAAGATAGACTCACCGTCCTGACTAGAGGACCCTCCAAAGTCTCAAGACTTTGAATATCCTTGAATTGAGATATTAAGGTAGTCAATCCCATAGCCAAGATTGGGATTTACCTTTGACTGCCATCCCTGGCCAGAGAGTTAGATTCCTATCTACTCTTTTTTTTAGAGATTTTATTTATTTATTTGACAGAGAGAGACACAGCGAGAGAGGGAACACAAGCAGGGGGGAGTGGGAGAGGGAGAAGCAGGCTTCCCGCAGAGCAGGGAGACCGATGTGGGGCTCGATCCCAGGACCCCGGGATCATGACCTGAGTCAAAGGCAGACGCTCAACGACTGAGCCACCCAGGCGCCCACTATCTACTCTTTTATCTTTCGGGCGTGTAATATTGATTATGCTGGACCCCCAATCAGGGAGAAGCCTACGGGCGCCTACTGTGTACCAGGCATCCTATTATGCTCAGAGATAAGAAGATAATAAGCAGAGGCACCACCCTCAAGTCAAGTGGGAGAGTCCCATGCATAGAAATCAAGTGATAAGCACCAACGGATGCGTGAGACTCGAGATTTAGTGGCAGCACGAAGAAGAATTGGATTAACTCTGTTCAAGTCCGACAGAGAAGGGACCACAGAGGAAGAGCTATGTGAGCTGGGATGAATGAGAAGTTTCCCAGGCAAGCAAGGTGGGAAAGGCATTCCAGGGAGAAGGAAGAGCATCCACAAAAGCATGGAGGCTTGAAATAGGATGCTGAGTTCGCAAAACAGCAGATATGGCGTGGGTGGGAGCCAGGGAGAAACAATGGGAGGTGAGTCTAAAAACTAGGGATGGTAGAGGGCCTTGGATGCTCTGTAGAGAAGTTCAACTTTATCCTCTGGGCCCTGGGAGAGGCCTGGGGAGGGAATTAAGGGGGCGTGGATGACTTGGTCAGATTTGCATTCTAGAAGGATTTGGCAAGCTGGTGGAGGAGCAGCCAGACTAGGAGCCGGGCGGGGAGAGAGGAGGAGTTCTCTTTAGATTCGTTGAGTTTCAGATGCTGGTGGGGCATTGGGTTGGAGGTGGGGGTGGTGGGATCCCTCCTCAGAGCAAAAGGCAGGAGACTCGGAGTCCAGAGGCAGGGAGAGGGGTCGTGGGAAAACAGTCCCATCCTCTCTAGAAGTTTCTCACTTTTTTCTGGATCTCTCAACTGGCATTTCTCTCTCTTCACACACACACACACACACACACACACACACACACACACACACACACACA